AACCGACCCGACCTGACTCTGAACCGATTGACCCGATTGCCAGGTCTATGGGTGCATGTGTGCGAGAGTGCATGTAACTTCAATGGGCACTTGACTCGATACTTTGATAGTCGATATCTGGTCCATTGATGACATTTGATATATGTTTTTATGCACTAGATATTTATAAGGCTGCTTTCAATTTATACCCAGCAAGTTTAACTATTTCCATCATGTATTAAGTGTAAACTAGTAATAAGTATTGATCTACTTGCTCCTTTTTGTAATGCCCTCTAGTTAATTGAGATGGAGGAGAATTATAATCCTATGCTATGCCCATCGCAATGGAGCTAAAAGAGTCATTCTTACAATGGTTTTGCTTGGGGTAAATAATGGATTAAATCAAAATATCACATTGAACTTCCTTTGCTTCTTACTTTGTATAATGTTTTGGGTAGGAAAGGCATCAAGGGTCTAGCGTAAACAGCCTCTCTGCTTTTTGCAGCCGTAAGGTTGCATACATCTTTGACCCCCCGACCCCACCCCCAACGTGATTTGGATTATGATGGGGTTGTTGTTTTGCAAATTCTAAGCCATTTGTTCTTCATGGCACAAATGTTAGGCAGTAAAGAACCAGAATATGTGTAAATAGCTGCAATCATGATATGTATGCTATTATGTATGTGTAGTTGTGTACAAATTCATAATATTTAATTAAAAAATGGACAAGTGGTGCCACTTTCTAATAGAGGAAACAAACTTTGATAGATTTAGGGGCTGTTTGTTTTAGCCTCTTAATGGTTCAGATGTCTGAATGATTCAGCACTTAATGGTTCAGACTGTTTGTTTCAGCCTCTTAATGGTTTAGATGTCTAAATGGTTCAGACATTTGCCTCTGAATGGTTAAGTATTATACAGAGTCTGAATGGTTAAGACCTTTTACCTGAATTGATCAAACATTTGCCTCTGAATAGTTAAGCAATATACTAGCTCTTAATGGTTCAGACCTCTTACTGGTTCAGCACTTAATGGTTCAGACCTCTTACTGGTTCAACACTTAATGGTTCAGACCTCTTACTGGTTCAGCACTTACCTATTCAGAAGTTGCCAAACAGCCCCTTAGACATGTTTGTCAATGCCTCCAGATGTTAAGGTTAAAAAGTGTAACTGTTGTGATTGATTTCACATATCGATGTTGCTAGCCTAACTAGGTTGTGATTAAAGCTTAGTGAGCTTGTTTATTATTGTGGCAACAATTTGGAATATGAGTTGCGAATTGGACTTCTGACAGGCTGGTATAGAGGAAGCTAAGACTGAAGAAATTATGAAGCTAGAGTCTGCTTTGGAAGAAATTCAACTTCACCTTTAAGAGACCAAAGATTTGCTAATGAGAGAGCACAAGAAAGCAAAGGAGGCGGCTAGGATAGAAGAAGCCCAAACTGAAGAACTTGTGAAGCTACAGTCTACTTTAGAAGAAATCCGATTTCAGATTAAAGAGGCGAATGAAATGCTCATGAGGGAACGAGAGAAAGCAAAGGAAAATGTTGAATTAGTGGAAGCCAAAACTGAAGAGCATGTAAAGCTACAGTCAGATTTGGAAGAATTGCGACTTCAATTTCAAGAGACTAAAGAGTTGCTCATGAGAGAACAACGGAAAGCAAAAGAGACTGCTGAAATAGGAGAAGCCAAAACTGAAGAGCATGTAAAGCTACAGACTGATTTGGAAGAAATGCGACTTCAACTTCAAGAGACTAAAGAGTTGCTCATGAGGGAACACCGGAAAGCAAAAGAGACTGCTGAAATAGGAGAAGCCAAAACAGAAGAGAATGTAAAGCTACTGTCTGCTTTGGAAGAAATGCGGCTTCAGCTGCAAGAGACTAAAGATTTGCTTGTGAGGGAACAAGATCGCACAAAGGAGACAACTGAGATAGAGGAATCCAAAACTGAAGAACAATTAAAGCTACAGCTTACTTTGGAAGAAACCCGACTTCAGTTTCAAGAGACTAAAGAATTGCTCATGAGGGAACAAGAGAAAGCAAAGGAGATTGAAGACATGGAGCAGGCCAAAACTGAAGAAAATGTGAGACTGCGGGCTGCATTGGAAGAAATGCGACTTCAGTTTCAAGAGACTAAAGAATTACTCATGAAAAAATGTGAGAAAGGAAAAGATAGCACTGCAGGGGCATTTGTTGTACAAGAGGCTCAGGTCATTGATCTTGAAATGGTCAATAAGCTCGTCACTGAAAATGAGATACTTAAGGTAAATTGTTGGTGACTTGCTGCTATATTTTAAATCTTTAGTAGAGAAACTGGCTTTAAGCTCTATTATACAAACTCAAATATATACCACCACGGCATTAAGGTGTATCTACCACGTATTCTGACAATTGTTTCTTCTGTCTAGTTAGTCCCAACTCTAATGTTTGATTCTGGATATCATTTATAGGCTTCAAATGAAGCCAAAAACAAGGAAAATACCAGACTACAGTCTGCTCGGGAAGAAATGAACCTCCAGCTCCAAGAGACTAGAGCTTTGCTCACGATTGAACATGAGACTGCAAACAGGACAACCAAGAACTAGTGTTTGGTACAAGATCTCTACGTTATTAATCAAGAAAAAGTCAATGAATTTACTGCTGCAGAGAGGCCTGTGGCGCCTGATGTCCAGGTTATTCATCAAGTAAAGGTCAATGAGCTCACTTCTGAAAATGAGTTTCCTAAGGAACGTTTTGTGTTTTCATATGTTTTAATTCCCGGATTTGTATTTTTGCTCGTAAACTTCTCCATTATACAGACCTGAATAGTTATCTAGAAGAAATAAAGTATCCTCCATCACCAACCCTCACGGCCTCACCCCTCCCCCAAGCTTGTTGCGGCTTTTCCATTTTCACACATACTTATGGATACCTCTCGTTATGGGCTGTCTAGGATGAAGCCAAAACCCAGGAAAATGTAAAATTACAACCTGCTTTAGAAGGGGTGGAGCTTCAGGTCCAAGAGACTAATCAACTGCTCCTGAAGGCGTAGACACCCGTGGAAAGGATTGCTGACCATGTGTACACTGCGCATGAGACACAGAAGATTTCTATGGAGCAGGTGCCTGCTGCACAAGACATCAAGTTCATTGATCATGAAATTGTCAATAAGCTTACGGCTGAAAATATGCAACTTAAGGTATGTTATAAGTTTATCATGTATGGTATGCCAATATTTTTTAAGATACTGAATGTCTATATTGCTTCTATGTTTTTTTGTTCTCTCTCTTGACTATATTAATAATATGCTGGTTCTCTTGAAGGCCTCAGTTAGCTCATTGGAGAAGAAAATTGAAGAAACAGAGAAGAAATACGAGGAAACAACCAAACTTAGTGAGGAGCGGTTGAAGCAAGCCATGGATGCAGAGTCCAAAATGATCGAGTTAAAGACGGACATGCAAAGGTTGGTGAAATGAACTTTTACCATTATACATCCATGAGACACATATCAGCCTAATTTCAATATTTTCACCTTTTTATTTTTTATTATACACTTTTTTGAAACCCAAAAATATTTTTTTTTAAAAAATACTTTCATATATTGCACTTTTCAGCATTAGAAATGCCATATGTGTTGTTTGTTTTTGTGCATTCGGAATTGTGCATGAATGTTTCATGATTATCATATGAGATTGGTATAGCTTGAGCATCGTACATATTGTTGTTGTTACTACTCCATATTATGCATTTATTGCTGTTTATGTTTGCATCTCATTCCAGGATCAAGGAGAAATTGTCTGATATAGAAACTAAGGACCATATTCATCGAAAACAAACATTATTGAATTCACAATCTAAAAGAATGTTAGGACATTTTACTCTAGGCAATCAGGTCATAACACCGCAAACAAAAAAATTCTTGTATTTTGTTTGTTCTTGGTTATTTTTTACTGATCTTTTATTTTATATTGCAGCCTTCAGAGAACGGCCATCAAGTAAGTAAAAGGCATGTAACTTCCTCCTGTGCTTTGTGCCACGGTTTGGGTAGTAGATGCACTATGCCGCGGCTCATTAATGTGTACTCGTAGTTTATGAAAGACCCACAAGCAGCAAAAGCGTTAAAACCATTTGGCACATTATCATTGAGAAGATCCCAAATTGATAGACAACGAGTAAGCTCTCAGTTAACATGAATTGTCTCTTATATGTTAGCAGAGACAGGTTTCTTAGCCTTTGTTGGGTTGGAGGGGTTTTGAGGAAAGTAAGGGAGTGTTGTGTCTTTGGTTGGGGAATCGGGGTGGTGGTGAGTTTGGGGGAGTTGAAGACCTATAGACTCCTCCAATCTCACACCTCTCAATTTTCGCTATTTCAGAAGAGTAATATTTTCTTAAATTTTTTTCACCTTTTCGAAACAAAATTTTGTTGTTAAATCAGAATTTTTTACACTATTATTGTTATTCATATTGAATACTTAGTTATAATTACAAGCTTGCAACACAAATTATGTCAAGTATAATACTTTTTATATATTTATATAAAATAATAAAATTTCCATTGAACCAAACATAAAATCTTTTTGAAGTTCTCAATTTTCATCCTTTCCCTTCAAATCAAGCACAGGCTAAATTCTTTTTTTAAGAGGAAAGAAATCAGCTTTCAGAATATGAATTAAATGTAAAATTGATGTCAACTGATTTTGTCATTTTATTTTATTTATTCTGTAGGAGAGTGTGGATATTCTTTTCAAATGTATTAAAGAAGATCTCGGTTTCAGCGAAGGAAAACCAGTTGCGGCATTTACGGTATACAAATGCCTTCTTCACTGGAGATCCTTTGAGGTGGAGAGAACTAATGTATTTGATCGCCTCATTTAGGTTATTGGTTCTGCTATAGAGGTAAGTTTCATATCTAAAATTTATAATTAATATGCCTCTGCTAGAATATTACTAGTGCTTGTGAGTTGTGACTTCTATACTCTTTTTCATTGAAATTTAAAATAGAAGTATGCAAAAAGAATTGAAGTATGGTTTTGTTTAGATTGTTTTTTTGTGGGCCCAACTCTCAGAGAAATGGCTACTCTTTTCCTTCATTTCTCTTACCATTTTCTTATCCATCACTTCGGCAGAATTTTTTAGTATGTATTTTTTCCTTCTGATAGAAGAATTGAATTATATTTATTTAAAAGGAAAGATTAGAAAATTTCCTCTACGTTAAAGTGGGGAAACAAGATTCCCAAATAATGAAGTCAAGCATATCGTGCAAAATTTCTTCTGCGTTAGGTAATTATTCATCTTTAGAATAGTTCGTGGCACATGCAGTGTCATAGCTCTCTCATAAATCTTAGCAGATGCGGATTGATAAACCCTAATCTTTCTGAAGGTCCAATTATTTATACTCATTGAGTTTTGCTGATACACTTAGGCTGTATTTGAATCCCGTAAATCCTAGGAAAAAGAAAAAAAATTACCAATGAATATTGCTTTTTTACTAAGTGTGTGTTCCTATTATGTTTTGTGGAGTGACTCTGCATGTAGTGTATGTTCCTATTATTTTTGGGGGTTTGGGGGGGGGGGGGTTAATCGTGTCTCTCAATTTAATAGGAGGATAGCATTGAATAAAAATCAAGCAATGTTCCAAATAAGAAAATATTCACCAAATACTCTGACAAATTTCTGATTTTACAAGAATACTCTAAAAATAAATTTATTACAGTATTACACCATTACTTCCAAAATTTCTCTTTTTACAAAAATACTCCACCCACCACCTTACTCGCACAATAAAATTGTGTAATATCTAAATGGATTTTTAAAGTGATGATTTGAAGAAAAAATTTACTTTTTTTGGTTTTCATAAAAAAATAAATTACAGATTCTTCCTCCAACTCAAATATCAATCACGCCCCTCACAATTAGGTCATGCCATTTTCGGTTAGAATTCTAAAGTTGAATGTTGGAAAAAAACTGTAAAGACTTGGAAAAAATTATAGTTAGAACAAGTTGGAAGTTAAATTTTCCAACCCAAAAGAACAAACTCTTAAAATAAGAGATTGATATTTGAGTTGGAGGAAGAATAAGTAATTTTTTTATATGAAAACTGAAAAAGTGATTTATTTTCCAAGTCATCAGTTTTAAAATTAATGTAGATATTATTGTAAAAATAGAGCAATTGTGGGAGTAATGGTATAATTAATTGATTTTCGGAGTATTCTTGTAAAATCGGAATTTTTTTGGAGTATTGCTTTTTCCTTCAAATAATTAGCAAAAGGAGTTTGAGGAGAACTCAACTACATCTATTTATTCTTTAGTCTTTTATCAAATTTTCGTATAACTCATTCATCACTCATATTATTTGCATGCCATAGCTCATAACCTGCACTTCCACCATAGAAAGCTCCAAACAACTTCACCCTTTAACCTAATGACCACGGACACAATCTCAATCCCCAGGCTCATAAAGATCTGGTGTTAGAGACTTAGAGCCCATCGTAATGGGTGACCCCTATCGATCCGCATTTGACTATTTATACAATCACCTTAATAAGATGCAATCATTTCTCTAAGAGATACAGTAATATTTGCAATAAATTGGACTCTCAAATCACAGTTCATAGAGATAGCCTAATATGATGCCAGGGCAGTCCTAGCTTGCAACACGAGAACACCGTGGCACAAAATATGATGGCACAATCTCACACCAGGGCAGTTTTGTTTCATCTTTTTTTGGGAAACATGTGTCAGTTTTGTTTCAAGATGCATAATGATGCATATATTTTGGGGAATTTTGATCTTTAATTTGTGTTGCTTTAAACAGTGTTGATCTATCATCAAAAACCTGTACTGAAATATACTGGACCAACCATGTGTGACCTCATTGAGCCATGTTCTTCCAACTTGGAAAAAAAGAACTGTGTATATCCACACAAGCCTTAGCAAAAAATTCCTATGAGGTGACATAAGTTTTGTTGTAAAGACTCAAAGGTCCTCCAATTTTTTCAAAAATATTCAAAATACATTAAATTTAATTGTAAAGGCTTAAAACGGACAGTCCAGTGCCAACATTTTGATAAGAATAAAATGCCCTTTGATAAAGATTTATCAATACTCTTGAGCTCCTCCCTTGCATTCAAAATCATATGATTTTTTGAGGATAACTTTTTATGAATTGTGACATTAAACTAATTTTTTATTTTATTGAAATAATAATAATAATAATAATAATAATATATAATATATGAAAATACATCTAAATAATTTTTTTAAAGTCTTTGTTGGAAGAAATTGGGAGATTTTAGAAAAAATGGAAATAGCTGAAAGAAATTAGAAGGCATTAAAAATACACTATTTTTGTTGCTAAGGGCATAATGGGAAATATACTAATTTTAAGGAAACCAGATCAATTTTTTTCCGATCATTGAGATGCTAGCCCCAGAAGACCCCCTATAAATCTTTACAATCAAATTCAATGGCTTTGGAGTATTTTTGAAAAATAAGAGGACCTTTAAGTCTTCACAACAAAACTTTTGCCTCCTTATAGTAATTTTTTGCAAGCCTTAGGGCAAGCTTTTCCTTTTTCCTTTTCTGGGAGGGGGAGTAGGTGTATTCACACGTTTGAAGAATGAGGACATGAGGTACAGTCATCTAAAGCCCAGAACTTGACCGTGAATCTTGAATAGAGACCATTTACAATTTACAAACCCTTAAAAATAGATACACAATGTGAATCCTGATCTGCTAAGTTTGTACACACAAGCATGGTTAGATTGGTTACTTTTGAAAACATGAGATGATAACAACCCAACATTAAGACTAACCCACACTAATTACAAGCAACCCTTGAGTAATATTCCCTTTATTTCATAATATTCATCCCACATTGAAGTCGGTAGTCGAACATTGCAAAATTTGACTATGATTTGTGTTAAAAACACATTATGTTATAATGTGAATTGTGAAACTAATATCATTATATTCATTTTGAAGTATTGTACTATTTTAGAATATACTGCAACAACAACAACAACCCAGTTGAATCCTACTACAGTAGGGTCTGGGGTTTTAGAATATACTGCATTTAGTGTATTTATTGCATATAGTTACACATAATAATGTTCAAACTGTTGTACCGGATACCATGAAATTCAATTTGGGATCAGTATTATGAAATGGATGGAGTAATAAGCAAGTAAGCAAGACTTGAATAAAAACACCAAACAGCTACAAAGGCATTTTTAGGAGAACTCATAAATTCTTTCTAGTCTTTTTTTAGTTTTTCATACTGCTCATCCTACAAATGCTTCATCTTCTTTGCATGCAACAGCCCACTCATCCGCTATAGTAACTCCAACGTCCAAACAGTTGCATTGATCCCATTCCCAAGCACATAACTTTTTATGGTTAATTAGAACCCATGCATGTTTCCAACTTGAATTCTTCTATTTAATTTG